GTTATGAATTATTATATTCCCTTGCTGTACTAAAGAACATTGGAAAGTTTTCTTCTGTCCTTTAATAACACAATGCCATTGATTAAGTCTACCCCTTCCTTTTCCATCATATCCCATACAAATTCTGCTTTTTAATAGTTCATAACTATTCTATTCTCAACTTAAAAAACAATATTTTCAGATACTATCTATGAGTGAGATAAAGCAGTATTGCCTTCTCTGTACCTGAATTATTTCACTTAGCTCATTTTTTTATGTCTATTTATGTGGTCAAAAATTAGGAACGTTATTACCTTTATGAATCAATACTCTGTTTGTGGATGGATGTGTATGTTGATTCTATAGCCCAGCAACTGTGAATCATGTCTCAGTAAATACTGGAATTCAGGTGTCTTTTCAGTATGCAATTTATTTTGATTGTATATATTCACATTAGTGATAGTACTGAAATATATGAGCTCTATTTTTACGTTTTGAAGAATCTCCATACTGTCATTTAGAAAAGAGTTTGAATTAACATTCCCAACAAAAATACGTGAGGTCATCTTACCAGCACTTGATGTGTACTCTTTTTGTTGATGACCTTCCCGGTGAATTGAGGTACTATCTCACAGCAGTTGATTGTTTTTCATGTCTTCTTTTGAGAAATAGCCAACAGAACTTGAAATGAGATTAAAATGTGCTATTTATTTTAAAAAATATTTTATTGATTTTTTTGTGCATTTCATACAATAGCACTTAATCGCATTCATGTCCCCCATACATTAGATTTCATGCGTCTTGCCATATATGTTAAGTCCTTTCTGGTCAAACATTTATATCAAGGTATCCTTTGATGCAAGTTCACCCACTGGAGTCTAGTCAGCCTGTCTAAAGTCTTTCCTTTAAAGAATATCTTCTCTCCCTCACCTAGCAGTAATCAGTTTCCAATACTTCCTCAGCTAGCGTTGGGGCCTGCTGCCCATTTCCTTCCTTCATTGTTGTTTTTGTTTTTTGTTTTTTGTTTTTTGTTGTTTTTTTTTTTGAGTTGGCATGGGTTTTGTGCATGCTGTTACCATTGTTGCAAGTTCATATGAGCAAGTTTTCAGTGGCCCGAAATCTTCTGTTTCCTTATGTTCATGAACCAACCTTGGCTCTTACAATCTTTCCACTCCCTCTTCCACATGGTCCCTGAGCTGTGGGTGGGTGAGGTTTAATATAGGACTCCTATCCAAAGACATGCACTCTGTAATCTCTTATTCTCTAAAACTTAGCCAGTTGTGGCCTTCTGTGTACACCACACTCGGTTGTATGAGACAGCTTCCCTAGTGAGAGTTGAGGGATGTGTTAGTATTCTCTCTATCCCCTGTTCTGCTATGTTCCATGAGCCTTAGGTGTAAAGGCTCCACTGTCAATGTGTCTTTTAGGATCAGGCATCTCTCAGACAGATATTCTCTGTGTGTGACCAGTTGTGGAACTTTGTACTAGCTTCTATCTGTTGTGAAAAGAAGCTTCTTTGATGAGTGGTGTATGGTATACTTGTCTGAAAAATACAAGGATCCAAAAAAGAAGGCACTGTTTTTAAATATTTTCATTTTTGTTCTAGTTTGTTTCTCCATTGCTCTGATAAAACACTGACCAAACAAGTAGGGGAAGGAGTTTGTTTATTTCATCTTATCTGTCCAAGGTCCAGTCTCTCTTGGAAGGAAGTCAGATACGAACTCAAGATGGTAACCTACAGGTGGTAACTGATGCCAAAACAATGGAGGAATGCTGCTTACTGGCTTGCCCTCCCTTTCTCAGCCACCTTTTTTTAAATTTTTTTATTATTTTTATTTTATGTGTATGTGTGTATTGCCTGCATGTAGGTAAGTGCACCCATGTCGTGCAATGCCCGTGGAGGTCAGAAGAGGCTGTTGAATGCCCTGGGACTGGAGTTATGGACAGTTGTTACCTGCCATGTGGGTGCTGGGATTCGAACCCGGGTGTTCTGAAAGAACAACCAGTGTTCTTAACCTCTGAGCCATCGCTCCACCTCAGCTACCTTTCAGCACCCCAGCTTACTTGCCTAGGAATGACACTGCCAACAGTGGTCTTGTCCTCTCCTACATCAATTAACATTTAAGAAAATGCTCCACAAACATGCCCACAGGCCAGTCTGATAGAGAAAATTCCTCAATTGAGATTCCTTCTGCCCAGGTGAGTATGATTTGTGTCAAATCGACAAAAACTAGCAAATCTACAGTCAGTGGGGAAAAAACGCATGAAAAGAAAACCGAGTAACTGGATTGTGACAATAATAATAAAGAAGCTGATGACCATTGAGATTGCTCAGTGGGCAGAGGCACTTGCTGCTGAGCCTAACAACCTGAGTTAGATCTCCAAATCCCATATGGTAGAAGGACAGAACCAACTCCCATGAGTTTTTCTCTGACTTCCACAGAAGAGTCATGGCATGTGCACACACACATGCACACACACACACACACACATACACACACGTTATAAAATATTATTTCATATGTCATAATATTTTTAAAAGAAGGTAAATTTATACAGCATCTATAAGTTCCATATGCTAAAGTCAGGACCTGAAAAATGATGAACACTAAGAATCTTGATGAAGACACCTGTGTGGATGTGATTACGATATTCTAGCTCCCTTGAAGACTCTGAGCTTTCAGAAATGTCTCTAAATATCTCCTTGAAAGACAGTCTATTCCTTTACCTAAAGGAAATGAGGTCTCGCCTGAGTCAGTTGCTTCCCAAGAAAATAATTATTTTTTCTCAACGTGTAATCTTGCCTTCTCTCATGACACGTAGCTAGAAAAACAAAGGACAAGGCTCAGAACAGCATTGTTTCAATGCTAGAATCAGCTCTGCTTTGGGATGAAAATAATTACTCTCCAAAAGAGCTATAAGTTATTACCTGAGAGGGTTCAAAAGTTTAGAGTGCTGAGAGGATTCACTATGTAAGATCCAAGAATGTATCATTTGATGAGAGTTTTCCTTGAGAATACACTAGGGCTATTCTTTCCATCACAGCGAGAAAGGTATCAGTTGAGAGACCCCAGCTTAGTGAAAGCCTTAGCAGTATGAGATGTTGCTATGAATTCTATGCTGTCTAAAGTCAATGGATTTATAGGAATTCAGAACACCTGAATCTAGAAATTCCTGCAGTCCCCAAAAGTATCAAGTTTACAGCAGAGATCACCTGTCTTCTCTCTAAGATTAATTCAAAAATACCCAGTTAGTCTCAGCACAGATGACATCATATCTATCCTGTAGGTTTCACAAGCAGTTACTATAGTATTGAGGTATTGATAAAACACATTTGAATAGGAAAATAAGATAAACTGTATTAATATTCAGAAATTTGAAAATAACCATATGCAGTAAATGCAAGCAGGTTTTAGTCATATATAGGACTTTGCTTTTCATGAATATGTAATCATGCTGCACAATGATCTGAAACTTGATTTTTCTTATGAAACTGTAACAATTTAAAAGTGTTCTCTCAGGGTTGGAGAGATGGTTCACCAGTCAAGAGCACATCTGCTGTTGCAGAGGACCTGGGTTGGGAAAGCTTTAACAAGTTCAAGCCAATAAACATACTGAAACACATATCCTAAAGTGCTAGTCACAATAAAAAGAGACATAGTATGTTGGTAGACTCATTGGATGTGGAGGCAACACATTTCATAGTATCAGTACTGGTCCAGCCCAGGTAGCAAATAGCACAGAAAGCTGCTAGTGTCAAGGAAGCTACAGAGCAGGAAAGGGACTTGACAGCCAACCAAACCTGCCACTTGATACACAATGCTGCAGGGGGCTTTATGAAACTGAAAGTGGTAGAGATGAGGAAAGAAGCTGTATGGAGCTCGTTTAAGCCACAGTGGGGAAATAATCTAGGTCCTGTGTTCAAGTCCACACAACTAGCAGCCAAGAATCACGTAGATTCTGAAGCAGATTCTGGTCTTTTTCTCAGTCCTGCTAAGGAAGAAGATCTTACACAACAGGGAATCCTTTCACCATACACCCAGGACCTCTCCTCATGAGCAGGATCTTTTCACATTCTCTGGTGAATACAAGTAGACAAGCAGACCAGCAGACCATCATGACGTGAAATCTGAACCACGCTCACGTAGAACCAGAGAGTAAATAAACTTGCATCTACACGTATGTGAACAAAAGCTCTCCTTTACTGTCTAAAACCCACTTTGTCAAAATAATCAATCTCCACTGTTGGCTGAATATCATTTTGCGTTTCCCTGGAGTATACACAAATACACATGCATCAAGATTTTATTTATATATATATATA